ACACACACACACAATTGTTTGGGATGGGCTATCCAAGTGACTCAGCTCAAGACACACCGGGAATTTTGTTTTACGGGGAAGATCCCTGCCATCCTTCTTGTGGTGGAAGAACATAAAAAAGGAGACGGATGTCGTTTGCAATTTAGAAGTGCCATTTAAAGAAGCTTCTGTTAAATCTGCACTTTTGCAAGCTGTATGATGGCATGGGATCGCTGGGAGAGAGAAAAAAGAGAAAGAAATGAGTCAACCCTAAATCCAAGGTGAAGAATCTTCTCTTTACCAAACCATCACAGTTTCCCCTGGAAAATTATATTTATTTGTTATATTTATTTGTTGTTTTTACGTATATACAGTGGTGCCTCGCTTGACAACATTAATTCGTTCCAGCGATATTGCTGTACAGCGAAAATGTCGTCAAGCAAAATTAAAAAAAACCATTGAAACGCATTGAAAATCGTTCAATGCGTTCCAATTAGCGAAATCCCTGCTCGTCCAGCAAAGATCCTCCATACGGCAGCCATTTTCTGGTGCCTGTAATGCGAGGAATCCGTCCCTAACACAGCGGGCAGCCATTTTCTACAGCCGGCGGCCATTTTGAACCCCGACGATCAGCTGTTCGCTGATCGACATGCAGCGAAAAATCGGTTCCCGAAGCAGGGAACCGATCAACGTTAAGCGAAATTCCCCCATCTATCGCAAAAACTTCAACATTAAGCGGATTCATCGTCAAGTGGGGCACCACTGTACTGTATTTGGAAGCCGCATAGAGTGGTCGAAAGACCAGATAGGCTGAATATGAATGAATGAATGAATGGATGGATGGATGGATGGATGGATGGATGGATGGATGGATGGATGGATGGATGGATGGATGGATGGATGGATGGATGAATGAATGAATGAAGGAATGAATGAATGAATGAATGAGACTGCCTGCCGAGAGGGGCTGCTCCCCCTCCGAAGCCCAGAGTCTTTGGGGTATCCCCATTTTCTCTCTCTCTGCCTGATATTGGGGGGCAGAAGGGGAGATCATGCTTTTCAGGGGTGCTCCCTCCTGTGTCTCTGTATGATGCATCGCTCTGGGCACACGATCCCCCGCTTGGCACCTCCTGTCAATCGTTCTGCGACAGCAGTTTCTCGTCTCCGGCTTTGTGGCATGAGATCGATCGTCTCCGAGACAGAAACACAGGTTCTCTGGGCAAAAACCCTCCGTTCGTGGGATGATTTTTCTGTCGGCTTTTCCATTTCATGGCGATCGGCCTGAAATGTTCGGCTGAAGTTGACAAGGCATGGAGACGGGGGGGGGGAGGTGGAGGGGGCTGTTTCTAAAGAAATTACATTTCGGGTCGAGCGATTGGCGAGAGACTTTTGCCAAGCCCCCGTCTGATATTTCATCCGAAGTGTTTTCTTGGCCTCCATGGAGATGAGGCAAATAAGCGTTTGCCAAAGACCCGTCGTCGGAGAGGACAATGGATTTCATTTTGAGGAGATCCGCGTAACGCGAAACGAGCCGCTGCTCCTTATCTTTGGCATTCACCGAAAGTTGATTTTTTGTTGTTGTTATTCTCGTTGACGACGATTGAGGTGTAACGGAGCCTCGTCCGTTGAGAATGTAGGAATTTAGTGGAAGCGATGAAACGCAAGCTGGAAAATCTTAGTGGTTATAGCAGCGATGGCGAGCAAATAGGTGCTGGAGAGTTTTGAATTTATGGGCAGAAATCCTTTTTAGCTACGCAGTAGAAGTACAGACTCTCGCAGAGGAGAATAGCTAACAGGTTCCCCAGAGTCCACCCCTTTCTTATGAAATGGCACATAAAAGTGTCAGTTACTCACTCTGTGGTAGGAAGAGTCGAACACACTTATTTCCTTACCGTGGCCAGAAATTGCCGACTTGGGTAGTATGCTGTTTTCTTTACTTAGCAACGCAACGAACAGATTGACAGCAAACAACCGACGGCCACCGACAGAGGAAAGAAACACTCGGCCAGCAAAGAGGCTGGTTTCTCTTTGAATTCAAAGGCTAGAAGGAAAGATTGGTTAATTCTTGGTAGATGGACAGTCACTCCACAGAAAGGGCCCTCCTGGTCACACAAATAATAGACCGCATGCGAGGTTGCAAAATCCAACTCCAATACATGTGATGTGTTCTTACATGAAAATTCTGCACTCAGACACAAGCTAAATTCTGTAGCCGGAGGATATTGTAGAAGGTGAGCACCGTGGTGGGTGTGAACAGCGAAACCCTTTTCTACTGCACTCTGCGCTCACACGGACTAGAAACTTGTCTGTTTTTAACATGAATGCTAAGTTTTGCTGGAAGCTCTACAGTAGGATTGTGGTATCTCCAGGGGATTGGATCCAAAACCTCCCGCAGATACTGAAATCCGTGAAATGTATTGAACGCTATGCATTGCATGGTCTCTGGCTCTCTCTGTTGGCCAGTTCTGGGAAATACACCCTGGTAATAGATAAATAGATATTTCTTTTGAGGGGGGTTTATTTAGGGTTTTCGGCCAGCGGATAAGTGAATCAGCGGATACTGATCCCGTGGATAGCAGGGTCCTACGGTACTGCGTCATGCTGGTTTGCTTAATTGTATCTCATGATTCTCTCGGATTGGTTTTCAAAATGAATTTGCAAGACCTGAGCAGGGGTGTTAATTACAGGTCCTTTCGGAGGTCACTAATTCATGGCGTGATTATAAAACCTAAGCTCTACCTCGCAGGGCTGGAGGTAAGACGCAAGGCTTTTGTTTTAACAGCTAGTTGACTGAGGGGGTTCTTCAAAAGGATCCTGGTCTATTCTGTTGTTTTTCTTGTGCTTTTAATGTTGCTGCTGAGTTTCATTATGGCATTCATTTATTTTTATTTTTTTATAGATTGTAACCATTTATTATTTTAGCTTTTAACTTTGTTTCACTCCCTGCGGGTAACCTGCTTCGGGTCCTTCAGGAGAAAAGTGGCGTGTCAATATTTTAAATTAAGTCACATAAATAAACTGGAGGGGACCTAGCGGCACATCGCAACTGATGCCTTTTAAAAAAATCTCTCGCTGTTTTTAATCTTCCAGCGAGCTGCCTTATGAGAACAAAGTATAGAATAAACCAGATGAAAGTAAACGGCTGGAATTATGCCAGATGCTTTATGAGTTCTGTGTTCAAGTTCTGTCCCTTCTCCATGTTGACCTCGGATCATTGAATCCAGCCCCTATCAACCTCTGGCTCCACAGCCGGAGACCTCAACCCCTCAGCACTCCAGCTTTGATTAAGATACCTGGAGTCTTTAGTGGCTTAAAACCCACTGCCAGTGGTTGAAGCGGGTGATCCTCGTCCACTCCGGGTTTTCATCCGAAGTTTACAGGCGCTCTCTGCAAAGCCGAACCACATCCCGAGGGCCCGTCGCTCGGAGAGGTCCTTTGCTGTTTCAGGCTGAAACCCCAGGTGGATTGGCCACCAGCCTCCGGTCAGCACAGGAGAGAATGAGCTAGAAAGACCACTGTCCGCATAAGGCCGCTTCCGGCTTTTCATCCGAACCATCAACTGCCCCCCCCGGGAAGAGCCAGAGGGGCAGCTGCAAGAATCTGTCACAGCAGAAAAGAGAGCAGTGCAAGGGGCAAAGAGGAACTGAGTCGTCTTTAAAGGAAACCAGCATGTTTGGCACGAGTCCCTCGCCGACATAAATCAGAACGCGTTTTAAGTACGCTTTTATTATTATTATTATTTTAAAGGGGAAAATCGATTAGAGAAATGCATGTTTTCCATTGCTACGGGAAGGATTAGAAGAAAACCTTTCTGCCGATGGAGGTGCAGGCAGGAAGGGAGTTGAAAATATAGGTTAAAAAGTGCATCCACTGGGGGGGGGAGGTAATCTTTTCCTCCTCGTCCCCGAACCAGGATTTTAAAGGCATTGTAGGGAGGAAAAAGGGTGGGTGGGTGAGATGGGCTTGGAAGGCATTGCACGCCTGGAGAAACAATCATATTTCTGGGCCAAGGAGGAAAAACCACGAAGCCCCCCCCCCCAGGGTTGGTCTTCCAAGGGCGTTTGGAAGTTCTTGAGATCTAGCGCCTTCCTCCACTGGCAGGGTTTGTTTTCGACCGACCGGCCTCCGTGTGTGTGTATATCTATGTCTATTGACATTGACCTGCAAGCGATGACAGAGAGACGGATGCATTTGAACCCGGAGCCCAAGCGCGAAGCAAGAGACAGGTCTCTCTACAAACTGCGCGAATGTCAATATTTGCCAATTCGAGGTTTTTTTGCTGTCGTGCTGCAGGATTACGGTGCCTGTTCTCGGCAGGAGAATGATGGCTTTTTGAATGACACCGTGACTGACTTGTGCTTTTTTTCCTTCTCTTCTCTCTCCAAAGGGCTGATCTGGAAAAGGAGACAAAGGGGGAGCGCGCGTCCTGACTGGCCCGCCCGCCTGTCTGGCTGGCTGGCAGGTCCCCCCTCCGTGCACACCTGATCGGCGCAGTGGCAGATCCGAGCTGGCTCAAGCATCCCCAGGAGCGCCGGAGACAGAGAGACACACACAGAGAGACACACGAAGGGCGCTTTGTAACCAGGGACGACCGCAGCAACACTCGGCGCACCGAGAAGAAAGCAGAGGCCCGGAGACCTGGCGAGATCCTTTTTTCGAAGCTCGGTTTGGTGAACAAAAGAGACAGAAAAAGGGTCGAGAGAGAGCGTAAGAAAGATCTGGGCTCCATTTTTGCCGGTGCGGCTTTCCCGTGCCATCGACCGGCTCCCTCTCCAAGGTGCTATGGGGCCAGGCGCTCATTTCTGGCCGCGGATGCTCCAGTGAAGAGCGGGTCTCGTACGCCGAAAGGAAAGGAAGCCGTCCTGGGGTCTGGATCCGCACCCCGAGATTGCAGCTGAGTGCACCACACAGACAGCCCTCCCTCCTCCTTTCTTCTGCTGCTTCCTCCTCCTTTCCTTCCTTCCTTCCTATTTGGTCAGGAATGGAGGAGGAACTCAGTACCAGGCAAAGATATTTTGTCCGCCCCCCTCCACCGCACTGCTACGGCAAAACCACCCGAAATCTCCAATTTGGATCTGAAACCAAGCTTTTTCCTCTCCTTCCTTCTCTCTTCTCCCCCCCTTCCCTCCGTTGCCGCCCACTCCGCGCTGTGTATGTGACTCTCCGTGGAGCAGAGAGAGAGGCTCAACCCCCCAAAAAAAATTTATGCCCTGCTAAATCGGGGAGGACGCGTCGTCGCCGGGGCCGCCATGGGTAAATCGAACAGCAAGTTGAAGCCTGAAGTTGTGGAGGAGCTGACTCGAAAGACGTACTGTAAGTCGTTTTCATTTTTTTTGGACAACTCCCCCCCCCCGGGCAAAAAAATCAACCCACAACACATCCCATTAAACCCCTCCAAGGGTGTGACTTCCAGAAGGGAACCGGTGGGATGTGGGTTGCAGAAGGCGAGTCGTGGGGGTGGTATTTTGACTCGGGGGTCGTACAGGAACCGGTGAGATGTGGGTTACAGAGGGCGAGTCGTGGGGGGTGGGTGTTTTGACTTGGGGGTCGTACATGTGGGGAGCACAGCCCCCTCAAAGGCACCAGCCACGGCCTTTCGTGGGACTTGAGGGGCGGCCCGGGGGGGGAGCCGAGGTCGAAGCGTGCAGGGGGTCAAACGATGTGGCAGGGTGCATCGGTTTTAAAAGCCGGGGCTCCCCGGAAAATAGACCCCGGGGGGGATCCCAAAGCAGAATCTGGTGGGTGTGAAAGGAACAGTTTGATGGGGGGGGGAGAGAGTGGGAGGAAAGGGGGTGTAGGATTGTGCGCATTGTCCTCCGCCTGCATGCAGAGAAAGAGGAATTTTTAAAAAGGCAAGCCGGTCTCTTTGCTTTCCAAGGAGCTCATATGTTCAGGGTGATTCATGCGCTGTGTCATGTTGAGCTCTTCGCAGTGAGCATCGGACGCGCACGCACCCCCCCCTCCGGGCTCCGTCTTTTCTTGGGGTGGGTGGAGGCGGCTGGTGCCAGAAGCAAGCGGCCCGCGTGTTGGCGTGTGGGTGTGCGGGTGTGCTTGCACGCCTCCACGCCTTTGTGTCCGCACGTGTGGCCCACAAGGAGCAAAAGACTGTGCAACATTAACCTAGATTGTGCGCGCACACTCCTGGGTTATTGTCGTGTGTGTGTGTCCTTTTTAGACCACTCTTCCCAGAACGCCGCAGCCCAGCCTTCTGGGACTTGTAGTGGAGGGGGGGGAGAGGAATATTTTCTGTTCCATGAAAGAAGCCCATGAATCGCATGCCGTGAAATAAAACCAAGCTTAGATCTTTTAAAAATCCTTTTCCATTTTCCTTTTTTTTTCTTCTTCGTAGAATGTTTTGCTGCAAATGTTTGTCAAGGGTTTCCAAATTTCGCTCGAGCGCATTGCTCGGCAGTTTTCGTCCGCGGTCTTCCTGTCCACGGGGGCGTTTGCTTTGCCGCAGGGAGAGGAACCCCTTTTTTAAAGAAACGTGTCCCATAATGAATTTTTCAATGGGAGATGGGGAGCCATCAGGGTGGTGCGGGCGTGGGGGTTGATCTGTGCGCAAATCTTTGCGCGTCCGGCTAACAAAAGGCGAACAAACCTGGGGATTGTGATGGATTGTGGGCTGGTTGTGTCTTGGTTTGTGTTCCATACCTGAGTTGGAGAACACTTTTCTGTGCTACCCCCCCCCCCTGCTCTTCCTAAGCCTCTAAGGGCACAGCGGTGTTTCTGGACACGTCTTTTCTTACTTTTGAGGAGTGGGTTTCTAGTCCTTAAGGTGGCTCAGATTTGTTTGGAAACGTGAGTTGCTCAAAGCCAGAGGCGTGGCGGATCAAATCAAATCAAATTTACTTTATCGTGGTCAAAGACCAGCGCCAGATCGGATTTCCAGAACTGAAGGCAGTTTATGGCCTGGAGGGGAGGAACGTCCCCTAAAATTTGGGGGTGAAGTGGCCCGCCCTTCTCCTGGCCTACAGACAACTCCGCTCCAGAGAAAAATTTGCAAAACGTTCAGCGTGTCTGGAGTTCAAAACAAGTAAACAAAATTAATAGATTTGAAACAGAAACCAGTGAAAAGGAGAGAAACGTAAATAAGCCACATTTACCCATTTTGGGGAATTTCTGTTCTGTCTTCCTTCGGCCTCTCCTAGCGCAAAATCCTACTTTAGGCCGTATAATTGAGGTACGACGACTTCTAGGTTTACAAGAAAACTCAGCTTTTCTTAGAAGAAGTCGGTCTGGTGTCTGGGATTTCCTTTCCGCCATGACCCCTCCCCTGATCAGGATTTGGAACCCGATGTCAGGGGTCACTGGAGTCCGAATCCCATCAGCCCCATTCAGTAGCTAGGGGCGATGGGAGCTTGTGTTCCCCCCATTGCTATGCGCTGTTGGCTTTTTAGAAAGTGTAAAGCATTGTAAAAATGGAACCATGCATTTATATATATATATTCTTTTCAAAATATTTCAAGGTTGGATGTCAACAGCTGATGCACAGCTTGGAATTTGTGTGTGTGTGTGTGTGTGTGTGTGTGTGTGTTTTGGTGTGTGATAGAAGGCCTTCCTCACCACGATCCTGGGAGGTAGGATAGTCCGAAGGGATTATAGGTGGTTTGAGATCACTTTGTGAACCTTAGGTTGGGAGTTTTTACAACTTCGCATGCTGCTTTTAGTAGGTTTGGCTGGGAGGGACCTTTCCAGGCTAGGGAGATTGTCAATCGACCGAGCCCTAACCAATCATTCGCTCCTGTCTCTGAATTTGAAAGACAGCCCCGCCTCTCTGCTCGGTGCTTTTCCCCCCCCTCTCCGTTGAAGTCTGTGGCTGAAAGCCGTCGTATAGGTCAGTTGGCTGTTTAATCCGTTTCATGGTAAGGCGTGAAACCTTCCATTCTTTCTCCTCCTAAGGTCTCGGAGTGAGTTACTGAGACTGTGTTGAATTAGCAAGAAAAGGGGTGGACCAATGTAGGCACCTTGAAGCTATTCTGCTCTGTAAACCCCTGCACTTCTGTTGCACGGCTGAAGGAAATTAACCAGATATTCAAAACTCTGCAGCATTTCATAGCCAGGCAGATCATCTGGTTCACATCCACCTAAGGGGTACCCAGAGATACGGTGTAGGCCAGAGAATGCTGGAGGTAGGTCAAACTTAGGATCAGCCCGGAGTCCTAGCTTTGATGTCATACCATTTGAGGCAGTATTGCTTAGTAGTTAGAGCCCTCGAGTCAGCCTCGGGAGACCCCCCCTTGAGCCACAGACCCTCTTTTTCTCTCCCGCTGGCCTACCTCATAAGGGGGTTGCGAAGGTAAAACAGGGAGCGAAGAGACCTCGCTAGACGCAAAGCGAGAGAAACAGGCCGAATAATTAAGGGAAAACCAGCAAGGAGCGAATTAATTCGTGCCGTGAAAAAAGCCTTCTTTTTCTCCTCGGTGATCGAATCAGGGGCTAATTTGCTTCTCAAAGGGAGAGTCTGCCTTTTCCTGCTCCCCTCCTTTTTTTAGTCTGCCCTGCAGTCCAGTTTTATTCGCCCCATGAATATGTGTGTGTGTGTGTGATTGTGTTCGATTCAGCATCATCAGCTTTCCTTCCCAGAGGGTCTTCTCAACGGAAAAAGAGAAGCTCCTTTTTCTTTTTCCTAAAAAAAAGCAAACAGTTTGAGGTTTTCCTTGGGGATGCCCGCCCTTGGAAAGCCGTGGTGCACCCGACGCGCACCGGGAGGCCACGGAGGGGTGTGTGCGTGCTGTCTCGTCCCCGGTCTGCCTTCCCACCCCCTGTCTCCCTTGTCGTTTGCTGCGGCCGTCCCTCGGCGTCGCTGGCCTCAAAGAGGCGAGCGACGCAGACCGTGGTGGCCGGTGCGTACGTTTGGTGGCACGCTGGTGCAATGCACAACCCTTTCGAAAGCCCTTCTGGCGCGGCTCCTTTGGGGAGAACGGGGTTCGTATACAAGAATGCACACCAAAGCTTTGTGCTGGTGCCTCTCCACGGCCGGTCCTCGCCGAGGGGTTAGCAATTGGATGGCCTTTACACCCGAGGAAGACCAGCTGCCCTTAATTCAGAAGGTTACAAGTCAGGGGCAGAGAGAGATGGCTCCTAGTGCAGAATGGTCCCCCCCCCCGGTCCGGCAAACGGTGTTCTGGCCTCTGCAGCAAGACTCCGTGTGTCGGCAAGAATACCCTTTTCAACCCTCCGGCTGTCGCACAAAAACGACGGTAGTTCCTCGAATAGCTGTTTCCTCGAATACTCGTTTGGCTTGCAGAAGGACAGCCACGGTGGGTCCAGTTTCGCCTCCAGTGGGAGGGAGTTCCGAAGTCTAGGAGCCACCACAGAGAAGGCCCTCTGCCGGGTCGACACGGGGATTAGCCAGAGGGAAGTCATATTTTAATGATCACGACATAGACTTTGTGTCCCCTCTCACGTTTTAATGGTCTCACAATGTTTGAAAATCATGGCCCTGGACCGCTTTGATGTGAAGCTGCCAGGAATTGAACCCAGGACGTGTCTGATAAAGGCTGGACCTCTGGGTTTCGGAGACAAGCCGAGAAAGGGGACTCAAATCTCTGAATTCCTCAACCGCAAGCGGGCATATTTTCAGGGCTCAGAGTGTGTTGTGCTACGCCCCCATCCTGCATCCTTTGTCTCTCCCTGAATCATCTTCCAAAACGTGGATCGGAGAAGGTGCCTGGCGAGGAAAATCCTCCCGCACGCCTCTGTGGCCCGTTCGGCCACCGATGGGTTTCCCACTAAAGGCAGAAAAGAAAAACTTGACACAAGGAAAAGACGAGACGCAGACGTCCAGACCTTGCAAAAGGTGAACAAATGAATCAGGGGCTACGATAAACACAGCTGCTCCAGAAGAAAATTGGCTTCTTCGAAAAATAACACTCTGACCGATGGCTGGGAGTATTCTTGGAATCGTAGTTGAGAAGAGTAACTTTTTCCGTTCGTTTCCACCATTTAGGGAGCCTTTTGGCCAAGTCGACAGGAATCCTAATCATCCTTCTCATCAAATTCATGTGTACAGTAGTTCTTTATTATTACTTCGGTCTTTATTTTTCCTTTTTTTCTTCTATTTCTTCTTTTCAACTTTTTATGCATAATTGAAAAATAAATATTTAATGATGATGATGATGATGACGACGAAGAAGATGATGATGATGATGATGATGATGATGATGATGATGATGATGATGATAATAATAATAATAATAATAATAATAATAATAATAATAATAATAATAATAATAATAATAATAATAATAATAATAATAATAATAATAATAATAATAATAATAATAATAATAATAATAATAATAATAATA